ACAAGATAATGGAGCAAGGAAACCAATCGCCTATGCGTCCAGATCCATGACCAGCACCGAGCTGCGATATGCTCAGAGTGAAAAGGAAGCACTTGCTACAACCTGGGCGTGTGAGAAATTCAACGACTACATCCTTGGAAAGGACATCTTCATTGAAACAGACCACAAGCCATTAGTGCCACTGTTTGGTTCGAAAAATTTGGATGAACTTCCTCCCAGGATTCAAAGATTTAAAATGAGATTGATGAAATGTTCATTCGTCATATGCCACATTCCAGGAAAGGACTTAGTCATAGCAGACACCCTTTCAAGAGCACCACTAAGAAGGTCACCTACAAAAGCTGATATACATCGCACTGAAGACCTGAATTTAATTTGTACGTGGCTAACATACTTGAAAGTCTACCAGCTACAGAGCGAAAACTAGAAGAACTGCGACTTCACCAGCAAGATGATGAAGTATGCAGGAAACTTCGAGAATTCTGTACTGAAGGCTGGCCAGACAAATCCAAGCTGAACTCAGCACTTAATGCTTATTGGCCTGAGAGAGCCTGCATCACAATCCAAAGTGGTATCTTGATGAAAGACTCAAGATTAATCATTCCGTCGTCCCTTCGCTTGGACATTTTGGATAAAATCCACGCGGGGCACCAAGGAATTCGCAAATGTCGCGAGAGAGCACGTGAATCAGTTTGGTGGCCGGGTCTTAGCAAACAGATCGAAGACATGGTCACAACGTGCCCGACCTGCTGCAAGCATCGAAAAAATCATGCAGAGCCTATGATACCAACTCCTCTGCCAGAACGACCATGGCAAAAGGTAGCGACCGACCTTTTCTACCAAATGGCAAGACGTACATCATTACTGTGGACTATTATTCTAGATTCTTCGAAATAGCCTCCCTCAAGAGTACCACAACAGAAAATGCCATCAGCCACCTGAAATCGTTCTTCTGCCGCCATGGTATTCCCGAAATCGTCGTCTCTGGCAATGGGCCACAGTTTGCAGTAGCTACATTTTCAAAATTTGCAGAAGAATGGGGTTTTACACATCTGACAAGCAGCCCCCACTACCCCCAAAGTATCGGAGAGGTAGAAAGAGCTGTCAAGACCGCCAAGAACTTAGTTGTCAAAGCAGAAGATCCTTACTTGGTGTTACTGTCTTACAGGGCAACACCACTCGAGAATGGGTACACCTGCTGAGTTACTGATGGGAAGAAAGTTACGCCCCACCCTTCCTTTGGCGCCCGAAAAACTTACACCAAACCTGCCCAACTTTGAACAGTTGAGGAATACGGAGCACACCTACAAACAGCAACAAGCTCAAAACTACAACAAACGTCATCGAGCATCAGCCCTTCCCGAGCTGGGTCCAGGAGACAAAGTTTGGCTGCCAGACAAGAAATCTCCAAGATCATATGTTGCCAAGACAGAACAGTCTCTTCTAAGGAGGAATAATCTAGCCCCAAACCCGAACGAGGCGGAAGCATTCCCACCAATGAAGACACGGAGACCCCACGAGGCGTCAACGTTCCCTCCAATGTTGTTAAGACTCGTTCGGGTAGAACCGTTATCCCGCCTACCCGACTCAATTTGTGAGCTTGAACTTGTACTGCAGCCGTTTAGGGACCAATGCATTTTGTTGTTGCATTTTATTGTTTAACCGGACAGTGACTATTGATTTTTTCACGAACAGCTAAGGTTTATAATCGATTTGCCTTATTCCCCAGTATAAGTTTCAGAACTTAACTTCATTCAGTGTTAATCATGTTTTTGTCTAGAAAGGGGGATGTGTGGTTATTGATTAACATGTCACGTGATATAGATCGGATCTCTACCTAGCGAACACGTGTGTATGGTGCAATCGCTCGACATGTAGAATGGCGTCTAAATAAAAACCTAGCTTACAGTGCGATTTTTAAAGGATACAGTATTTTCGCGACAAATATCAGTGAAACTTTGAATTTGTGACTGATAACAGGCTGTATTATGTGCAACAATTGTCACAAACCTCCAAGCGTGTTTATAATCAAATAAAGTAACGTGTCTAGCTTCCATGGCTTATGCTATAAATTTCTGACGAAATCCTATTAAGCGGCCAACCCCTATTTTAAAGGCGGCGCCATTTCCTCGTCGGAGGTTGGTCGCTTAATAGGGGTTCGACTGTATTTAATTCAACTGTAAAACGACTTATCAAATTGTCGTTTTAATTTTCGTTTCATTTCAGTTTCCCAATTAACAGCTTGGAATTTCTCCTGTACCCTGCTAGCAAGGCTAGCTCTCCTGGGGTTTCAAAAAACCTCAGATCAATTAATGAATTAAAAAAAAATAAAAAATTAAGCTCGTGGAGTAAATCCTAGTGTCTGATCACTCAAATGAAGGCTACTGAGCAGTACTTTCATGTGGTACTGTTTATTATGCTGTACAAGATGGCTCTACCTTTTAAGTCTGTGGATGAAGCCCTGGTGTGTAACCAGTCAAATGGCTTTCATGTGGTTTTGTTTAGTATGCTGTACAAGAAAAGAAAATTATTAATCAGTGTTTTCATGCCGTGGTGTTTCAGTTTTCAAAATTTTCCAAATTAGCTTTGGACTCTTCTGAGTGCCCCGTAATTAGCCAATCAGAAGCTCTATCTACTAACCTGATATCCTACGATATCAAGTCACTGACCTGATATCCACCAATATATCATGGTCACTTTCAAGTCAAGTGATAAAATTCTGCAGATTAGAGCTGAATTTTCCTAAGAAAAATTTTACGAAATTACAGTCAAACATAAAACAGGAAAATGTTGACGAAGCGAGTAATTCGAGGGAAATTTACGAAGAAAAAACTGAGCTAAATTTCGCGCTAAAAACGCGGCTGCTACACTAAATGCGTTACGTCTCCTACTCGCGGTTGTCTCGAAAATCGTCTTCAAAACAATTCAAAAACGATAAAATTCGACGCTTTTTTGTCAAATTCGCCACAGGAGAAAGGAAAGAGGGCATTTAAGGTACGTTTGGTCTCGCCATGGGTATTTTGGCTCGACCAAACTCGCCCGATATATATGCCGCCGAAGCGTACCAAAAAGGTACGATTAGGTATAAAAAGCGTTACTCGCCCTAATACAGATTGTCCTATCTGGTCGGAGGAATCTGATCAGCTCCTTTATTCTCATAACATTGTATTGACATTTGGAGGAGAAATCAGATTTTTATCACTGCTAGAAATGTCTTGATTCGCTTTCTCTTTTTCTTGTTGTATTTTAAAGCTGTTTATTGTCTTATTACGATATTGATCCGAGCATGCAGCTAGTAAAGGCGAGTGTGTTCATTCTTGTCATATAATTTTCATAGTATATAATATCAATTTCTGTCTTAACTGAACAATGCCGGCAATGCATGCCAGAACCCTGGTGGACAGGCCCCTCACGGTCCTTGGTGTTACACTACGAATACTTCAGTGCGATGGGAGTATTGTAATATCTCGATTTGTCCTCCAGGTGAGGATAAAATGTATTGCATGGTCTCATTCTTTGGTACAAATTCCATTACTTCCCTGTAGTGATGTCAGTAATACTTTTTTGTTCTCCTTGGACATTACAGAAGATGCAACGCTGTCATATTGGAGCCCGTTCACCAAATGTTCAGTATCTTGCGGAAGAGGAGTCAAAACACGCTATCGCACTTGTAACAGATCGCGTTTTGGAGGAAAAAAGTGTTCGTCGCTCCGCGGTGCACTCACTGAACAAGAACCATGCAATGTCCATAACTGTTCTGGTAAGCCATTGATAACATTTGTTAGCAGCTCCAAGAGGCTTACATTTAATTAAAACAGCGCTAGTATAGTAAGTAACATCCCTTGAGCTATAGCTACCAAAATTAAATTAGCCCCAAGATAGGTACTTAAAGGATTGATTGAGCAATAATGCAATGGCGGGAATGCTTGAGATACCATCGGTGTGATATTCAAACGATCTACTGTAAGACCTCGCCCCAGGCGTCGCTCTTTGGTCGGGCGCGGTGCGCAGCTCCTATCCCATCAAGCCCTGCGCTCCCTGTTTTCCCGCGAAATGCAACGGGGCCTGAGAATGAGGTAGCGAGTCGGTAGCGAGATCGGTAGCGATTAGTTCGTCTTTGCTTAACTTACTGACTGCAATTTTTTTTAGGGAACGAAGCATCAGAGGAAAAGCAACCCAAAGGTCAGTTTCTTGAGACCTTAAGCCACCACCGTTATTACCATAATTGGTATCATAATTTATCATCATCATCATAATTTATATATCGTCGTCATTTTTATTTGTCTTTAAGCGGTTCTCCCCGAAGATTTGGGTGAGGTTGTGCGGCGCGCTTCAGACCAATCAGACCAAAATTTGTGACCTGATCCAAAATTTGATACCCCATCTCAGACCTGCCCTCTAAACATACAAATACTATGATATAAGATCTCAGCTACCTTCTGTTTGCGTAAACATTTGGGAAGGGCTTCAAATTCCCGATGTCAGTAGAGGGAGTGTTTCACGGTGGAACCCACTCACATGTACTTCTCGATACTTCAGTAATCACATGCTATAATTAGTCCAAGAAAAACGACGAATGACCAAAATTCACAAAATATTTCAACGGATTACACCGAGAATGTCGACATTGAATACCAGAATAAATCCTTCGAGCCAACACTTCTACTTGCAGTAGACATGGCTCGTACCAAGCAAAAGATCCAGGGCTGCAAAAGATCCGGCAATTCTCAACGCTTTGTCGCTGGGGTCTTGCCAATTTTAGAGTTTTGCAGAAATAATTATCCTATTTCAACTGGTTTATTTTCTATTTGTGTTTTAGTTCACTTAGGCCTGACGTTGATGGAGAGCATCATAGTTTCAGCCGGTGGACCAGTGCTTTTAATCCTCATTACAATGGCTGTTATATTATTCAAAAAACACAGTAAGTCAAGCAATAATTGCTTGAGAAGATGCATATCAGTCAGTGACACCGAAGCTACTCGGAAAAAATTTCCGCCGGAATTCTCCCAACAGGAGTCGAACCTATGACCTTCCGCACACTGGTCGGACGCTCGCTCTACCACTGTATGGAGAACTCACTGTATGGAGTTCCATCCCCGCCATACCCGTTGGCACTAGACTCGTGGGAGCTTTATAATAGGCCATCAATATACAGTAACTATAGGTTCCAATGTGTCCAACTTCCCGCATACTGCTAGGATTAGTTTTGTTGATATGTAAGATAAGTGTTTTATCTTAGGGCCGCTATCAGTTTAAACCCTTCGCGATCCTAATGAATTTAATTTTTCTTAATTCAGGGAGGCGTAAGCCAGAAGAAATAACTCCATATGCTACAGCTCGCATCAGCGGGATTTTCCCGCTAAATGCCGAAAATAACCGTAATGGACTCCCAGCTATGAATGACAATCCACTGCAAACCTTGTCCTTCCGCCAAGGATACCTCAAGGAGAAAGACCCACTGGTAGACAAGAGTTGACACACTTACCGTATGAAAATATCGACCACCTAGGAAGGCCAGCAGCAAATCGTCTGTTGCAGCTGTTCTATCTGCCTCGTTATGAGAATGAAGAGGTCGATAATGAAACACGCGATGTTATGATAAGGCCTGGGTACGACAAATTGGCGCCTGGCACGAGGGAAAAAAGGCGGCAAAACGGCGGCACGCGGCGCTTGCCATGCGGAATGGTTGACAAACACGGTCAGTCTGTGTATGACTCTCTCATTCGAGAGATTGACCGAAGCCGGACAGCAGAATTAAGTGACAGTGATAGTGAGAACGAGAGGAATATTCACACAATATTGGAAGTACCTTCTTGCGACGAACGAAGTCCAACATGTTCAATAGACAGAAGGAGAAATGGAACAGGAAACTCTAAACAGTTATTGAGCAAAGACAGCGACGATGAGATATCGCTGGAAGACATCGAATTAGGATGTATTGGGAATGACTGGAAGACTGATGCGAGGAGGAACAAGGCGGAGAAGTGCAACCATTAAATTTTAAACAGAGTAATGGCAACTTGTCACCGTGTTCTAAAGCTGCCTTTAAAATGGAAGATCAAACTGGTTTATTTGAGTCAGTTTATAGTAGTGATCTGACACAAGATGAACAATAAGCAGGCGAAGAAAATGCACATGATGAGGTCATCAGGAAAATTTAAATTTAGACACAGTAGTGCCGCGTTTAGCAAATCCTCGTCGTATTGTTTTAACCAACCGGTTAAAAAATTAGAGTATAAGAAGCTTTTAATTTAACGTGCCAATGGCTCCAACTAATTCAAAACTGAAGGAAAAAAAAACATTCATACACCCTTGCCTTCTGGGCTTCAGTATCGCTGAAGCCACGAGTCGAAAGTATATAAGTATTTAATTCCCAAAACCTGAAAACCCGTAGGCAATATTAATAACGTCTTTGTTTTAGATGCGGTAAAATTTGTAAATCGAGGAAAGCACATGGACTGACTCTTCAGTTCGCGTCGGCCGACATGACAGTCCCACATAGTAGCATGTTACTTGAATACGACATACATGAAGACCGGAAGTCCTAGAATCTAGGACTGGAAAATCCTTTGTCTCCAGAGACAAGTCCCGCCGGCTAAGAGACGCGAAGGGGGAGGGCTGTAGGGACGGGAATGCGCTGTACATGTTCCCTGGGTAGTCGGTTACTCAGAAGCGCTGGGGAGACTAAGAACCAGCTTTGTGCGCTAGGATGTCTTAGATCGTTTGGTTGGACAAAAAATATATCTTTGTGATCTGGGTACGAGATAAGGCGAAAATTCGGCGACTGCCGAAGCTAGCGAATGTTGTGTTCCCGGTGGTTGTATTTAAAACTTGAAAGACGAACCAATCCTGCCCCAGTTTTTCAAAGGGTTAATCACTATCCGGGGAGGGGAGGGGTTGGAGGGGAATTCGCGGGCGCGAGCCTGTGCAAGCTTAGCTACTAAATATAAATAATTATCAAACTAATTATTAATTCATCGAGCCGGGATAAACAAAAACAAAGGAAATTAATGAATGTTTAATGAGTATCTGTAAATCAGATACAGAATTCGTCATGTTTTATATAATATTTGTTTGGATTCTCGCAGCCGAAATAGAGATGTTAACGCCAAAATAACTGAAAAACATGGCTCAATAAATGTAGACGTTTGATAAGTCATATACAGAATTGGTGTCGGTGATGCATCAGATTTACAATCTCTTGCCTCTGTAAATCCAATACAACACGACCTCGATGCATTACTTACAATAGTCCACCAATCAAATGGCTGCATTAAGGTCACGTGCTTAATATTTTGTCTCATTTATACAGATTCTTTTGGTTTTACAAAAGGATAAATATGTACTTGATTATATATTGCATTAGTGTATTGTATTATGTATTGTATATATTTGCTATCAATGGTTTATATTAATTACATTTATGTGCATTAAAATTGTTACAATTTGTGCAATATTTGCATATTTGACATACAATGTATTAAAATATTTTCGTACAATGTTTGTTGTAGTTGAAATTTTTACCTTATGCTTTACATACACAAGCAATTGTCAAAATATTATTTACATAGAATTTTCTAAATGAATTTTAAAAAAACGCTTTAAGTATGGGGAAAAATAAAAGCGCACATTGGAAAGTTTCTCATTGGAACTGGTTAGCCAGTGATTTGAAAGTGATTAAAACCCACAACTGTATTAAAATTATTAACAACTAGTTAATTAAAACCGAAATACAGCATACCTAAGATTGTTGTTACGATTGGCTGTCGCTGTCGCATGTAATCAGTGGTTTGCACGCGTTGAGCTCCGCAATTGGTTAAAACTCACACAATGGAATCTCTAACCAATCAGAGCAAACATACTGTTTCTTCAACCAATAAGAACGCGCAAAAACCGAAACCAGTTACGCGTGTTTTCCCGCGCTTTTCACCGGCTGCATGTTTTGTTTTGAGTTCTGATTGGTTAAATGCGCATCCGCGCTTGTTGTAATTGGTCAGCATTAATTACAAGTATCACGACAGTCATTAGAAAACCAACAAACAGCGTAACCGGTCTTATTCTGTGAGCGATAAATAAAGTGAGTGGGAACTTGAAGTCGCGAAACACGCCATGCCAGCTGGCGCATAGAAATCAAGTCATCACAAGCGGTACATGGGAAGGACGGCTAACTGAGCAGTATTTATGCACACATTTACCCAGTCTACGCTGAGCATTTCATTGAAAAATTGAGAATGAAGACAAACCGATCAGCCTAACTAGTTCCCCATTCTCTTTTTCATTTTAACCATGGGGAATTAATCCCGGGGGGGAGGGGTACTCCCCAGAATTTTTGGTGGGGGTGTACGGCCCGCTTCTTGAAACACTTACCCTATTTCAGACCAAACTATGTGATTTTTGATACCCTATTTCAGACCTGACCCAAAAATCGATACCCTATTTCAGACCTATAAAATTAGTACAAGTGTCTAGTACATGACTTCAGCTACCCAGGAATGGGTTCCATTTGCCAAACCATTTGAAAAGGGCTTGAAATTCCCAGATGCTAATGAGAAAAAACAGTTTCGTCTAAAAGCCAAACCAAATTCCAGACCAGAGTGCACAAAACATACCCGATTTCAGACCAAAATGGAAAAAAATCTATACCCTATTTCAGACAAAAACGGCTCAAAACCATACCCTTTGGGGCGGCACATACCTATATAGCTTATATAAGAAAGTACCCCCCCCCCCCCCCCCGGGAATTAATCTACGACTAATTCTATGATACCAGTTCTGTAACCCATTCCAGTAGGGTTTATAACCCTAATAAGTAAAATGATTAAAATATACATCTGACATGTACATGTTATTCAACGGGGAGACAGGTTAAAAGCTCTTAAAATTAAATAATGATAACCACTTTTAAAAGCAACACAAACTACGAAGCTGGCTTTCACGGGAAATAAAATCAAAGTTTGATATGCGTAGCCTTAATAGTTACTCTGTAGAGATTAAAATAACAAAGAAATGGGGATGATAAAAAGTTAAAAGATAAAAGGTTCGTGAACAACCAAAAGTGGTACCACGAAGGCCCTCTTTAGTGGTATGTGGCAGGCCCTCTTTTCTTTAGAGTGGCATGCGCAGGGAACATGGAAGGCAAGGTGGTAAAAGGCCCCCCTTTACAGTCACATATGAAAGGCCCTTATGATAATGGTTGCCACAAAGGCGAGGTGGCCCTTTAGAGGCCCCTCTTTGGCATGTAGAAAGAAGATCATCTTTGTTAACAGGGGAGTGCACTTACAACAGCACACTGTAACTCTTGAAAACCAAGCCGATCAATCACCTTGATCGCGCATTTTCCCTTGAAATTATAATGGGAATATCAGTGGCTGAGGCTCTTACACAGCATCAGCAGAAGTCACGCCGTTTTCGCGTTACACAGCACCAACAGAAGTCACGCCGTTTTCGCGTTACACAGCACCAGCAGAAGTCACGCCGTTTTTTCGTTACGCAGCACCAGCAGAAGTCACGCCGTTTTTGCGTCACGCAACACCAGTAGAAGTCACGCCGTTTTCGCGTTACACAGCACCAGCTGAAGTTACGCCGTTTTCGCGATGTGGCATCAAAATTTTAATCCGGTCTTGAGTGAGCTGTGTTACTGTGCGAGAACGCTTCAAGGATGGTGACGGGGTGCCACGCCATGTCCTCACGCTCCCCCTTCTGATGTCCCCGGGCTCCACGCATTCCTCATCTGTAGCCACACTGGACATAGGAGAGTCCAGACAGGCGGTCACCATCGCTGGATGAGCGCTGAGTAACTCGAGAATTTTATCGGGGTCTGGTCTGTGGAGCGGGTCTTTTCTCCAGCATTCTGTCAGTAGGGTGTTCCTGAAATTTAGAAGAAGTTGCAGCATATTAGAAGTCGACTCCCGTGTTTGGAAATCGAATGAAACATGTGTTTTTGATGTTTTACCTGAAAATAAATTATTAGTCACCTGCGATCTTGACAGTTAGAGATATTTAGCATCACTTATGCTGTCTGTCGTTAGTCGCTTGTACGTGAAAGGGAGAAGTTTCGCGTTTGTTGTAAACGTG